CCACAATGCACTTGTAGATGGTGATCTGGGCTAACTAGGGCGTAAGGGTGCTACAGTAAAGGGGCTCCCTGCTGACTAGCTCTGCACTCTAGCACACTTGTGCTCCAGCCAACCCCTCTGCAGCACGTTGAGCTGGGGTGGAGTAGCTCCAGGCTGGCAGGCTGACCCTCCAGTCCCCCTGCCAGCCGGGGTTGTGCTGCCCTGGCTCAACATGCTGTGGTCCTGGGCGCATGTGTAAACACTGCACCTGGGAGAAAAACTCTAGTGCGAACTGCCCTGTAGTTTATTTCTGTTGGATAACTGCACGTGTAGATGTGCCCACTGATACTCAGCCTATTGTGAAGAGCAGTTCTGACAGAAATTTCTAGTCGTGTTCCAGTTCAATTCTGGAAGGATCTTTGTTTTACATTTGTATTTAATGCCCATCACCCTAGAGATAGTCAAGCATTAAACAGCTGGAGATTTGTTTCACCACTGAAAAGTTAAGAAGTCACAGAAAAATATTCTTGCATCAGGTTGTGATATAGCATTGTTGTTATACCAAGGAGTAAGAAGTCCACTCCCCCCACCCCCCAGTGTCACAGCTGCAAAGAAAAGGAATCATAAGAACAGGACTGGAAGGGGCCTTGTGGCCCACTGAGTACAGTGGCCTTCTATTTAAAGGCAACCATCAGCCAAGGGTTTCCCAGGAATCACCACTCCAAACCTACAAGCATAGCTACTTGGCATGACACCCCATATATCAAGACCTCCATGTAGCATGCCATAGGTAAAACGGGGAAGGAGGAAGAAGGAATGCCAAATGCCTTGCTACTGCAATGACAGACAATTGGTAAATGCTCCAAGGACCTTGGTGCCCCACACTATAAAGGAATGCAAACCTTCTCTCTGCCTCCCCCACCCCCACAACCACAGTCCTGGCTAATTTGACCTGAGAGAGAAATTTCTTCCTTACGTCAAATCTGGTGATCAGTTTGACCCCGTGTGGTAAAGCAAGATCTTCTAACCAGGGATCTCTGAATTGTATGAAGTACAGGTAGGAACATTAGTGCATTTCACTCAAAAAAAAAAACCCAGCCTAACAGTAGCCAACATCTCAGTGTTTCAGAAGAAGGCAAAAAGCCTTCCCACAAGCAACAGCATTCATATAAGGGGAAAAACATTCCTTCCTGGCCCCTGTAGGAAACTAGCAAAAGCCCTGAAGCATGCAATTACCAGGCATCTACAATATTGCACTAGACATCTACAATACCTTTATATCCAAACATTGGGATTGCAAGTAGTTGAGTACCAATTTCACGTGCTGATTGCTAAAGCAAGAAATCCCTATCCTGTCAAGCATTCCTATGATAAACTTAACACCTGTGATCAGCTCCTTCTTCTCCTCCTACTTTGTTTGAAAACCAAGTATGCCTGATAGTTATAAATCTTTAATTTCCAATAACCAGATTGTAGCAATTGGCTCTTGTGCTCATATTGTTTTTAGCCTAAAAAGCTCCTTTCTCCCTTTAATATTTACTGCACTAATAAACGCTTCTTCCAAAGCTGAACAAATGAAGCTCTCTAAGTCTCATTTTGTAAGATGAAGGCTACATTCCTTCAACCAACTTAGTGATCTTTATGTTAATCTCTTTTGATCACTGGTGATCAGAATGCAGACAACATTCTAAGAGGGGGGGTCTTACCAACACCCTGTATAGCTACATAAGAGACCATTGAGCTGTTGAACCATATATGTATCAATGACCTATTCACTGGGAATAAAGAAAGCCAATATAAATGCTGTTCTCTGAATCAGCTTCTTTGGACATGTCACAAGAACTGAATTCCAGTATATCATCTCCACAGGGAACCTCAGCTTGACTGGACTGGGGAGTAATATTTCTGTTTAAACACCATTAATGACTGGACAAAACACATTTCCTCCTCCCGCAATTTTGTAACCAGACACTTTTGGAAACTTACGTTTATAGAAGCATGAAGTCTCTCAGTTGTTAAGTTCTGCAAGTCATGGCTAGAAAGTTTTGCTTGTTCTAATTAAAAAAAAAAGCTTACAAAGATGGGTTTCTACTCCAGTAATTCTATCACTTTTTGTTACTTTATGATATTGCTATCCTGAGACAAATGCAAATTTACAAGCTGTTTAAAAGGGCTTCTTTCCCCATCTCCTATAAAAGTAGATTATAAAGAAAATTAACATTCAAATACATTGCTTCTAAAGACTGGTGAAGCAGTGGTCACCTATCTACAATCTCCAGGGTTGACAAGCAGCCTGCCACGGCTACTCTACGAGTTGTTCACATGATGATAGAAAAGGGGTGCTCAGCTCAATTTAAAGTGCGTTTTCACCGCTGCACTAACCCTCCCTGTTATGCCAAGTAAGAGACAGACAACATCCAAATCTTGAACGCCTAGAGGAACTGCCCTCACAAAGAATAAGCAAGTATAAATTGTTTTCTAAGGACTTTCCTAAACTTCAGCATAGCATAGGGATCATGTCAGAAGGAAGGCTGAAGATGGGAGTGCATGCTGGGGACAAGGAAGCAAGTTGTTCTGGTACAAAATACTGCAGAGGCTTGAAGTACTACTGCCATGCCAAGACAGCCACAAGCTCCTTTTACTTAAGTACCAGCAGATGCTCTGTACCTCTGAAAACCAGGCAAAGATCTGTTTAGGTGCATGAACACACATACACATTTTGGAGCCCACTTTAGCCACTTATGTTTGAAAATTCTGGAGCAAGTCTACATTAATCAAAACCAAAAAACTGCCTAGTCACGGCCAATCCTGGCTCTCCTCCATGTGACTGTGTTGCGGGGCTGGGCAAGTAGGATCATATATTACATTTCATTACACACTGTCTTATCTAATACTCATCATCCTTTTATTCATCAAAATATTAATATTTTATTTTTGCTCACACGACGTAATGCAAAACTTATATGAATTTATTAGTGAAGTCTTCAAGATATACATGGAGCTGACTTAATCTAATATAAGCTTTGTATTGCAATCTTATCTTCTGCAATCTTAATGAAATATTTTTCATGTCTACAACTCCTTTCATCCTAAAGGAGTCCAAATTATAATCTGAGAGTCAGATACTCAGTTGCCCTACACCTTGTGTACCCGGTTTTACAAAGGCAAAGCAGATGTGAAATGTAACACATGTAACAAACTTGCACCCACTCTGCAACAGTGAACAACTATAACAATCTGTAAAATGCAGAATTTGTGCCTGTAACACACACATAACAGAATGAGCTGCAGTTTTCCTTGAGGTGGAGTGTGCTGTATAGCACATGGCCAAATAGGGGGGTAAATGCTGCCCAAGGGCACTGAAACAAAACCGTAACTTCCAGTGACCTGAGCTTTTTAACCTTTAAGTAGGGCAGGCAAAAATCTCCACTCTTGTTCCTACAAGGTGCCCAGTATTCTTAACCCTGACTCAAATCAGTGGGAGCAATGGCTCAGCACTTCATGGCAGGTCCTCAATAATACCTTGCAACAGGGGGGTCAAACATATGGCCTGTGGAGCCATTCCATCCAGCCCACTGAGCTACTGGTGAGCCAGGGAGCTCTGGGGCATGGCCAATGGGTGCAGTCAGCCACAGAATGGGACCCCAGCGGACATTGTCATTGGTGACAGAGAATGAGTAAGGGCTCAGCTCACCTTGCTCCCACTTGCACCATGTCCACCACAGCAAACAGCCACCTAGCCTGTGGCTACCTAGCTCACTCCTGCTGCTACTGCTATGGCTGCTGCTGCTGCCGCCATAGTGGCCAACACTGCCCCATGCCACAGGCCAGACTGGGCTCATGAGGAGTTTGGATAGTCTGGATCTGGTCCAGGGCACAAAGTGAGAGTTTGACACCACTACTTTACAGTACTGAATCCCATGACTGTAAAGGTCACATCCAACAAACCCACACTAAGCAGTGTTACACCAAGAACCTACCGCAGAAGGATAAATGAGTATAACACACTACAAAGATCAGAACACCTGGTACCACAGAATCAAGTCAAGATTTGGCTTGGGCTACAAAGCCACATAGCTGCTTTTCTGCCTGCTGAAGGCATTTTAATAAAATAATTATCCTGACATAAAGCAAGGTGGCTGGCACAATAAGTAACCTGCTAGCAGCTGTGGGTAAACAACCATCAGGCTTCCAGAGAATGAGAGAGACTTGAATGCTGGCTGGTCTCCTAACTTCTGAAAGGACAGGTTTTTAAATGCTGCCTGATCAAGACCTTGATAGAGTTGGTATCTACTGCTGAATGAATAGTGGTTATTGATAATCACCTTACTAGGACAGAATGATACCAACAGACATTGAGAGGAAACATCTTAGAACAATTACATGTTTTGATAACATTTGGAGAGATGATTTTCACATGCCAATGAAAATCAAATGAAATAGGGCAGAGAGCTGAATTCACTGGTTTTTCTGAAATGCCAGGTTCACATTTTTCACCATACAATAAAGCAGCTGATAGTTGTCAGTGCTTCCTCTGAAATCATAAGGCAAGTTTTCAGTGCAAGGCTTTGGCCACATGAGCTCCACAAATCAATTTGGAGCCAATAGCAATTTTAAATGCATTCCGTTAAGTGCTTTAATGGAAGGTGGAGGGGGGCTAAAATGCTAGAAAAGCATCTTTCCTCTCCTCCCCATAAACAATAAAAGCAGTGCTTTCCATCCAGAGGCTCAATGTGGATAAAGTCACAGCCTTATATGTCATCCTCTTCCTGTTTGTGTAACTCCCCTTCCCCACACACATCAAAATCTTTAAATCTTACCTTTCTGTGTTTACTTCATACATACTGACAATATCTGCATATGAATACCAACACACTCAGAAACCTGCAATTCAAAAGCTCTCAAACAGATTTTGGCCACCAGACTGTACAAGCAGCAGCACCTCTAATACTCTTTTCTTTACTGCACTGTATTTACTTTTCACATTGCAAAAATCACAATAAAAAGAAAAATCAACCTACCTGCCAAGGTCTATCCCAATCCAGAGGGATAGGAAATGCTCCAAGCCATGCTCCCACTATGCTGCACATTGTGGTAATTTGTAGACTGTTATCCCAGATGGACATGGCTCTGTAAGATTAGCACATTTTACAAGAGTTCAGCAGAAAATAAATCATCCTTTCAGTGTATTAGACCTACAAGCCTAACAAGTTTCAAAAGTCAAGCACAAAAAAAGTCACTAATACTTCACATATAAAGCACAGACTTCAACATGCAGACCTAGCTTAAAGTGTACACACTGCATTTAAATATAAAAAAGTCCTACAAAACTCTTTACTAATAATGCCTATATTCAACTCAAATCCCCATGGAAAGACGAGATGCAAAAACATTCAAAGTATTAACAGACTGTACTAAATACTGAACTCTCTGGCCTTCTGAAAGAAGCATGACATGATGAAATACAAAAACTATTTAAATAAAACTTTGTGGACCTAAAATAAGTTTAATTTTTGCCAAATGTGACTTAATTATTCCTTGTGGCTACAACGTACACTTTTACAATAAGATTAGACAAGTATTTTTATAGGTACGCAAAACAGGTGGTAGACTAATCTGGATTAGTTTCCGGTTGGGATTCGGCATCTGAGTTTGAAGTTGTGTGCTCTTTCTCCTGTGACTGGCTATGGGGTTATTTCTCCTATCTTGAGCCAAATCCAAATCAGACCTATGGTTGACTTTGGACTTGATATCATGTTAAACGTATTATTTCTTGTTTTCTCTGGACAATGCTTGTTCAACACTGTGTCAGTAAACACAACTTTCACTATGTATAGCCCCTCAGGGCATGCCTACATGGCTTCAAGTTGCAATCCCAAGTGTGCTGCCAACAAGATAAGCCCCCTGCCCCCAACTTGCTCTGGGTCAGACACCTCTGGAACCAAAAAGCAGAGAGAGTAAGGGGCTTAAAGCAGCCCAAAGTGCATGCTCCAGGGCCATACACAGGCTCTCTGTTTTGGTAGAGACCAAGAGCAGCACTGGTGGAGATGCTCAGGTTCACCAAGAGCTGCCCTGAGCTCCTCTCGAGTCATCCCACTGTGTCTTGTTTCTGGTGTGCCCAAGCAAAAGTGAGCAGGTGGGACTTACTTTGTTTGGGGCAGTCCCAGGGTTAGGAGGGAAGCTGTACAAACATGGCCTGAAAGTTCCCCTAGCTTACTCATGTTTCAGCCTTTTAACAGATCAGAGCAAGATAATTCCAGTGACAATGGCTGCAGAGAAACTATGTTGATGTATTTTAAAGTTCTGAAGAAAAAGCCGCTGTATAGCATAATATTAATATTGTTCTAACCTTTTGAGCCCATGTCCCCCAGGGCTAACAATAACCAACTGACACAATGTTAAACATGACAGCCCCTGTCTGCACCTTTTCATACTCTGTTAATTACAACTCCTCTGGAGTATTCTAACATGATTAATTTGCCACTGTATGCAAGCCCTTAGGGGAAGTATTTTTAACCCAAACTAAGAGACAAAGTCAAGTAGGCTTTGAGAGAGAAACCCACATGGGCCTTTTCACCAACTGTCAATGACTCTTATTTACAGGCACTTCCATCCAAAACACGATGACTCCAGCCACCTCCACTGCTACCCAATCAATGTCCATGCAGCAGATGCCATTTAGCCAGTTTTCACTTCAGCTATGGCAGTATCAACAACCAGTTTCTCAAAAGCTTATTGGTGGGAGCAGCTGATGGTATTTGACGGGAAAGGAAACTACTTGAGACACAGCTAAGATTTGGGTGAACCCACTTACTTCACTGACTGCTTCACAAAAGGGATGAGAGGTACAGTCCCTATACAGATGCAAATACCCTCATACGCAATAAAAGTTGTTACAATTTCTTGGACAGTCTCTGAGTCAAATGGAAAACTATTAGCCATCTTCTCTATGAAGAATGGAAAACCAGCAATGCACTAGGGAAAACTCTTTTCCAATGGAAAAAGACTTGGGTTTAAAGGAATCATATTGTTGTTCCCATTCAAGAAAATATCCCTGTTCTCCATCAGGAACATCCCAAGCCACTGTCACAACTTAGTCAATTTGGGATGTGACATGCCAATGCTGCTAATAAATGCATCAAGCCCAGGAACCATTGGTGCTGAGGTTCTAGAGCACAAGTGTGATGTTGATTTCATCAGAACTCCGCCATGCCAGTCAATGTCAATGTTAGGACAGTGCTTTGGTGAACCTAGATTCACCACAAAAAGACCATCAAATATTTTCTGAAAAGATGACTTCAAGGAATTAAAAAAGCACTGTATTTTCTCACATACCACGCCCCCCGCCCCAAAAAAGACATGCACCTTGTTTTTAGGAAGGCAGAATGAAGAGAGAGGAAAGGACAAAGCCTCATCTTCAGCTTGCCCACCTTCCTTCTTTTTGCTTAACCAAAAGCTGTTGAAATGCTAGCTGCATTCAATGCTAGTTGCACTCTGTGAGTGGATCTATGATTCTGAAAAGATCTAGAGAGTCTCCAAGGCCATGAAATAGGAGAAGAGAGGCCAGGAGCAGCTAAAACATAGTAAAATTGCCAGGAGAACTATTAGCTTGATTAGTGGACTATCAAGACCATTAAAAAGAAGAGGTGATTGTTAATACTTGTGAACTGAACCCTCAGCTGCCTGAACAGAAATGCCACTAGTGCTGCCAGGCAATTGGTTTTGGAGCAGAAATCAAAGTGGGGTGTTTTTATTTCAGGCAGAAAAATCAGCTTCCCCGCTTAAGATGCACACCCCAATTTTAAAAGGCTGATTTTTGGGGAAACTCCATACATCTGTGAATAAATATGGTATGTCCTGCTGCAATTTAGGAGCTAAGGAATGACAGCATAAACATCTGAAAATGGTTAGTCATTTGGCTCCTTTTTGGTGGAGGCCACAGAAGAGCTAAATCAAAGCTGATGCTGTCGGCTCAATCTATTCTTAGAAAATAAGCTGTGTTTCAAAACTTATTAGATGACGCATTTTAAATGTCATTTTGCATATAATATGCAGTTTAACACCTTTACAAATGTGATCACTAATCATTGTTGTCGTGATGGAAAAAACTTGACCTACTCTCATACTCTGTACATATCTCTTGATACAGAGTCAGACTGAATTCCACCATCTGGGTCAGGTGAGAACTTGAGGGTGAACATTTCATCTTAGTTGATAGCACAGCAATACTGGGTCTAGAAGGATGATTGATACTAGATTAAATATAAAGTTCTCAAGTTTCTACTGTGGGCCTTCCATAACTATAGGCAGCCAAGGGAGCATTCTCTTGGCATCCAGCTTGGAGTCTTTCCTTTGGTTTCCTTGAAAGCAATGTCTCTGAAGGATTCCAGACCATCTGCATGCCAATCATAACAGTTCACCTTCAGAAAAACAGAAAGACTTTGAGCTGTCCACACTCAGGCATGTAATTGCAGCTGTAACAAAAGCTAGTCTTGCCAGACACAATCCTATTCAGGGCAGATGGTACAGCAGACATGTTGCACCACTGCTAACAAGTAACATTACATCGTCAATAAGAAAAGGGAGTGAAACGTTCTCAAGTTTGCCAATAATGCACCAGGACAGAAGGACTCCATCCAGCAAGAAAAAGTAATTCACCACTCCAAAGGAAATGCAAATTATTCAGTTCTGACCAATTATTCAGACCAATTCTCGGGAATTGATTATTGGTTGGAAGGGGGATATGGGAGCGGGGAGGAATTAAGACCACCATCACTAAGGAATCAGAACACTATCCACTGAACAAATTAGTGGAGTTTACTGTTTGGCACTTTGAAAAAAGCAAAGCAGCTGGGCTCAAAGCCCTAAGTGTGCTGAAGATGCAGATAACTCTCTATAAGATGTTCCAAGGGGAATGAAGGAAGCAAGAACCTCCCAAGTATGTCGTCATTGAAAATACATTCCCATAAACTGTCTGAAAGACAGAGGATGCAGGTAAGATAAAGCCCCATGAGGAAAACAGTGTGAAATATCCTAAACTCTGCCAGGTGATCTGAGGGGAAAAAAAATGTTTTTATTGTATTAGTTCTTTCCTTATTGAGACAAAGTATCTGTTGACAGAGACAGAGGAGATACAAAAATATTAAGTATTTCATCTGTCACAGCAGTTCCAAAAAAAAAAAAAAAAAAAAAAAAA